CCTCCTGACAGTCAGGCCCCTCTGCTGTAGGTCTGCTGGAGTTTGCTGAAGGTCCACTCCAGACTATGTTTGCCTGGATATCACCAGTGGAGGCTACAGAACAGCAAAGACTGTTGGCTGTTCCTTCCTCTGGAAGCTTTGCCCCAGAGGGGCACCTGCCAGATGCCAGCTGGAGCTCTCCTGTATGAGGTATCTGTCAGCCACTGCTGGGAGGTGTCTCCCAGTCAGGAAGCACAGGAGTCAGGGACCCACTTGAATAGGCAGTCTGCAATCTGTCCCTTAACAGAGCTCTAGTGCTGTTCTGAGAGATCCGCTGCTCTCCTCAGAGACGGCAGGCAGGAACACTTAAGTCTGCTGAAGCTGTGCCCCCAGCCACTCATTCCCACAGGTGCTCTGTCCCAGGGAGATGGGAGTTTTATCTATAAGACCCTGACTGGGGCTGCTATCTTTCTTTCAGAGATGCCCTGCCCAGAAAGGAGAAATCTAGAGAGGCAGTGTGGCTACAGTGGCTTTGTCGAGCTGTGGTGGACTCCATCCAATTTGAATTTCTTGGCAGCTTTGTTTACAACATGAGGGGAAAACAGCTTACTCAAGCCTCAGTAATGGTGGACACCCCTCTCCCCACCACGCACTAGCATCACAGATCGACTTCAGACTACTGTGCTTGCAGCAAGAATTTCAAGCCAGTGGATCTTAGCTTGCTGGACTCCACAGGTGTAGGAGATCCGTCAGAGTGGTGGGAGAAATGACAGGGAAAGGAGCAGGCCTTCTGAAAGATCAGAAGGCTCTGCAAAGCTCCAGGGGAGAATAGCTGAAGGCAGCTGTTCTATAATCCTGAAGCAGAGGGCAAGGAGTAGGTACAAGTGAGTGTATGGGAATTTATCTTAAAGAGGCTTGTTTACTTATATTGACCAGTAACTGACCTTTTATTATCCATGTGTATGACGTTCTCTGAAAGGGGAACAATAAATGTTAATCACCTACAGGTTGTTTGCTCCAGGTTTTCGGCATTGTGCCTGCATTGAATAAAAGCAAGCAGCTCCAGCTTCTCAGGGCTGCTGCACTTTGGCCACTACAGCCAGGCAGACCTCTAGGTGCTCTTACACTGCGTACCTGTGTCTGAGTACCTCTTTCATCCATTGCTCGGCCAGGGTCTGCAGGACAGACCTGGCATGTGGGAGTGAGATCCGCTGAGTTATACCACTTGGCTCCCTGGCTTCAGCCTCCTTTTCATGGGAGTAAACAGTTCTGTCTTGCTGGTGTTCTAGGCACCACTGGGGTATAAAAAAAAACTCCTGCAGCTAGCTCAGTGTCTGCCCAAATGGCCACCCAGTTTTGTGCTTGAAACCCTGGGCTTTTGTGGTATAGGCCTCCAAGGGAATATCCTGGTCTGCAGCTTGTGAAGACCATGGGAAAAGTGTAGTATCTGGGCCAGAACGTACCATTCCTTGTGGCACAGTCCCTCACAACTTCTCTTGGCTACAGGAGGGAGTTCCCCAACCTCTTGCACTTCCTGGGTGAGGAGATGCCCCACCCTGCTTCACCTCACCCTCCGTGGGCTGCACCCACTGTCTAACCAGTCCCAATGAGATGAGCTGGGTACCTCAGTTGGAAATGCAGAAATCACCTACCTTTTGCATTGATCCCACTGGGAGGTGCAGATTGGAGCTGTTCCTATTTAGCCATCTTGCCAACCACCTCCAGTGCATTTTTTATTTCTCTAATTGTGTCCTTCATTTCCAGAAGTTGTGATTGTTTTTTATGTATGCTATCTATTTCACTGAGGAATTTTCCTTTCACATCCTGTATCATGTTTGTTGTTTCTTTAAGTTGGAATTCACCTTTCTCTAGTGCCTTTTTGATTAGCTTAATAATCAACCTTCTGAATTATTTTCCTGGAAATTCAGAGATTTTGTCTTGGTCTGGATCTATTGTTGGTGAGCTGGTATGGTATTTTAGGGGTGTTGAAGAACCTTGTTTTGTCATATTATCAGAATTGTTTTTCTGGTTCCTTCTTATTTGGGTGACTGTGTCAGAGGGAAGATCTGGGACTCAAGGGCTACTATTCCGATTCTTTTGTCCCACAGGGTGATCTCTTGATGTGGTGTTCTCCCACTTCCTCTAGGGATGGGGCTTCCTGAGAGCCAAACTGCAGTGATGATTTTTTCTCTTCTGGGCCTAGTCATCCAGCAGAGCTACTGGACTCCACACTGGTATTGGGAAGTGTCAGCAAAGAGTCCTGTGATATAATACATCTTCAGGTCTTTCGGCTGTGGATACCAACACCTGCTCCAGTGGAGGTAGCAGGGGAGTGAAGTGGACTCTGTAAGGGTCCTTGGTTGTATTTTTGTTAAGTGCACTGGTTATGTGTTGGTTGGCCTCCAGCCAGAAAGTGGCATTTTCAAGAGTGCATTAGCTGTGGTACTATAGGAAGGAAGCAAACTTGACCTAGGGTCATCTAGTTATATATTCATGTTTCTGAGGCAGTGGGCAGAGCCATAGAGCTCCCAAGAAATTATGTTCTTTGTCTTTGGCAACCAGAGCAGGTAAAGAAAGACCACCAGGTTGGGGCAGAGACAGGTGTGTTTGAGCTCAGACTCTTATTGGATGTGGTGTGCTGCAGCTGCTGTGAGGGCGGGGGTGTGGTTCCCAGGCCAATGGAGTTATGTTCTCAGGGGGATTATGGTTGTCTCCACTGAGTGACACAGGACACCAGGGAAGTGGGGAAAAGCCAGCAGTCACAGGCCTCACCTCGTTTCCATACAACCCACAGTTCTAAAGGCCAGTCTCACTCCCACTGTGCCCCTACCAACAACACCGAGTCTATTTCCAGGCAGCCGGTGACTAGGGCTGAGAACTTGCCCCTGACTATCAGCCTCCCCACTGAGAAAGCAAGCAGACTTATGGCTTTTTTTTTTTTTTTTTTTTTGCATCTCAGGGAATCCGTGGTGGCGATACAATTTCTTCAAAGGGTCTGTGGATTCTCTTGGCTTTCCTGGCATGTTGCTGCAGTAATTCTTGAAGCAAAAGCTCACAATGTGAGTCTCCACATGCTGTCCTGTCTGTCCCAGTGGGAGCTGCAAGCTAGTCCTGCCTCCTCATCCTCACAGAAACATGAGAATAATGTTTGACCAAATATCTAGGCCCTCTGTGGCCCAGTCAAGTTGACACATTAAATTAACCATCACACTGGTCCCCATGCAAAGTGGAACCCAGGTTTCAGAGCTCAGGCCCAGGGTCCCCTTACGAGGAGGGCTCCTGAGGGTTATGAGTGTAACGATTATATCTAGGCTGTCCTTCACAGCCACTTTCTTTCTTCCTAAACCTCAGGATTTAAGCATACTTGCCTGAAACCTGGGTTCAAATCTCTGCCATGTATTAGTTGTGCAAACTTTAGATATTATTTAGATATTATTTAATATCTCTATGCCTCAGTTTATTCACCTTTAAAATTGAGATAAAAATAATCTCTACCTCAGGAGATTGTTGTGAAGAGTAATTAAGTTAACATGAAACACTTAGAACAATGCCTGGTACATGGTAAGTGCCCAATAAATATTTTAAAATAAATGTTTTTAAATGTTTTCATCTAAAACCAGTATGGATCAATTATGGGATGTGGAAACCAAAAGCTAATTAAGCACACACAATAAATATTAGTACTTGCTGTTAGTTTTTTAAAATATCAGCTATTTTTGTTGCTCTCACCCAGGCAGTTTTCTACCTGGCCCTGACACTGACCTTAGAAAAGATAAATCTCTACAATGTGACCATCAGGTCTGCTGCAGCCCTGGTCTGCTCTGCAGAACTAAGCCAGAGGCATTTAGCATTTATTGGGGTGCTCAAAGAAGTCCCACCCCTGAAAGATATTCTTTATACTTTAGGAAAGCAGAAATGGACAGTAACTCCACCCTTAAAGGCCAGTGAAATACTGACCTAGAGTATCTCCAACCTGGCACTCCACAAGGCTGGGACTGCAATGTAAACTCATATTCCCAAGGGATCAATTAAGCCAGAATATCCCACAGTTTGTCTATAACAAGACAATGAGGCTTTTTGTAGCCCTCAAAACTCTCAAGTGAGAAAAAATTGTTAAGCCTTCAGATTTTAACCAAGCAGACCAGAAGGTGGTATAGAGCCATAGCTTATAAAAAAGCATTTCAGATAGAAAAGGCCATGTTATAATTTCAGATCTGAGAAATGAAACTGAAACCAAACCTACGTTCTTCCTTCCCCCAACTTCCCAATTGTTAAGCATGCCCTGTTGTTTCTGAGCCAATTAGAGCTTGCTATGAGATAGAAGCAGATAACACATAGACTTCCGTTAAAACCAGAATGAGGAAAATACTTTTCTCTAGCATCGCAGGAGGAAGAAAACAAACACATCAGATATTTTCAGCACCAAAAGAGATGGTTTTCCCCACATACATGTAAAAGAAATTTGCAAGACTGTCTGGGTAAGTACAATATCTATTATTAATATTGTTCTTACTATCTATAGCAGCATTTTATTGAATAGAAAGAAATATACTTTTTAATTAGAAGATTTAAATATACCTCAAAACAAAAAATAGTATTCTAAGCCTAGAAATTCGAGACTATTTGTTGCTCTGACAGGAGCCTGCTTTGTATTAGTTGAAAAATTAGTCATACGTTTCATTAAAGATGCAGTTGAAAACTGCAGACACTTTTATTGATGATATCTCCCAAGGCATAGCAGCATCTTCAGAAAGAACAAACAGGCCAGGTGTGGTACCCTGTAATTTGAGCACTTTGGAAGGCAAGGACATGAGAATTGTTTGAGGCCAGGAATTCAAAATTAGCTTGGGCAACATAGCAAGACCCTACCTAGCAAGATTCCTACCAAAAAAAAAAAAAAAATAGCTGGATGTGGTGGCACGCATCTGTAGTCCTAGCTGCTTTGGAGGCTGAGGCAGAAGGATTGCTTGAGCCCGAGAATTTAAGGTTACAGTGAGCTATAATTGCACCACTGCACTCCAGCATAGCCAACAGAATGAGACCGTGTCTCAAAGAAAAAAAAAAGAAAAAGAAAAAGGAAAAATAGGTAAAGAACAGGTAATGAAAACTTAAAAGTACTTTACTTTAATCAAATATACCTTCCACCATCTACTCTAAGAAATAAGTAGCTTCCAGAAAACAAAGCTCTCTGAGAGTTTCTCAAATACTGTTGTTGGATGACATGTATAGGAAGACAGACAGACAGATAGACTACTATGGGAAGTCTTTGGAATTATGGCAGCTTTATGTGCCTGGCAAAAATACTAGGCTTATGTCTAATTTCTCCCCGAAGGAAACACTAAGATAATGCAAGAGGGTTGGGGGATCACATTTCTGAATGAAGGCCTGACCTTCAGCTCCCTTTAGAAAAGTTAACAAACCCTACAGTTTAACACCAACTAGAGTTAAAAAAATGTATGTGGGTTCAATCGGTAACAAATAGTGTTTCCTGCTAAGATTCTCAGAACCAAATTTTCAGGTCAGTTTTTAAAGTATACAGTATCAAAACCAGTAATTTTAGGCACTAATTTTACTCCATGATTTCACCTTTTTCCCCCTACCATTATTTAGCCTTCCCCATGATTTTGTTACCTAACGGTTTTAATATATGTGTGATCTTGGATTACTTTCTAAATATTTCACCTAAAAAACATTTTGGAACAAGAGAGGATATAAAGAAATCATAAATATGTAAAATATCTATGAACAGTGGCATAAATACCTATGAATGGTGGCATATTATTTTCTCCAAGAGTGACATCATCAACAATTTTTGAAAAATAATTTATTGAAAGGTACAGCTATCAATAATCTGACAAAAGCTTTATGGGAAGAAGCGTGAAAGTGTAACCTGTTCAATGACATTTGAAATATTCATAATCTCTCTAGTAGAGAAAACAGTCAAAGGTCACTTCTTTATTATTTGCTTACTTTCCCAACCAAATGTTCAGGCCCAGTTCTCCATCTCCCACATTCTTATATGAGAACCTGACTTTATGTTTTTACATATAATGGTATGCAGTTCTTGCATAAATCAAATAATCCATCTAATTCACCACTCGTTCTCATCATCTAGTTTATGACATATCACCCAGAGAGTAAGGACTGTGACTGTGTCTGTAAAACTGTGAAAGGTTCAAGTTGATGAAGGAAGTCAGGGAGACCCCAGGAAAAGGGTACTGGTGGGATGGGGCGAGATGGGGGATGAGAGTCATGGGTATGAGGCCTCAGTAGCCAGGGCACACTAGCAGCAGGATAATCAGGGACCCCTGCTTTATGTTAAATAGTGTGGGTGTAACAAAAGGGAACATACTTTCATAGGGTGGAGTAGATGTGACTCAGCAAATGGATACAAGAAAGTGACTTAGATTAGAACGGTCACTAGACGAGGGTGTAGTCATCTTTTAGATAACTCTAAAACCAGTATGAATCAACACTGAGTCGGATGCAGAAGTCAAAAGTTCATAATCTGAGGCTGCAATAATAAACACCTAGCAAAACTTTAGGACCTCACATACCATTGAATTCACAATTATCCTTGGTTCATAACACACCATCATCTTTTTTATGCAAATGTCTCTTTTATTTTATTCATCCGTTTATTTATTTTCTAATGTATTTTGGAGGCATTATTGGCTTTTTAAATACGGCATAACTTATATACAATGAACAAACTTAAGGGTAAGCCTCTATGAAATTTTTATATGTACTTACCTGTGCAACCACTACCCATATCAAGATATAAAATATTTCCATCACCCCAGAAGTTTTCCTTGTGTTCCTTCCCAGAAAATATCTACCCCCAACATCATTCTGACTTCTATGACAGATTACTTTTGCCTATTCTTAAACTATATAAGTAGAATTCTACAATATGTTTTCTGTTGTAACTGGCTTATTTCACACAGTATGATGTGAGATTCTTTCATGTTGTTGCCTGTATCAGTACTTTAATCGTTTTCATGAGAATTGCAGATCCAAAGGGTAAGTATATATTTAACTTCACAAAAACTGACAGCTTCTTAAAGTGGCTGAAACAATGTACATTCCAACAGGCAATGTATGAGAGCTCCATTGACTCCACATCTTCACCAACATTTGGCGTTACCAGTCTTTCATTTTAGCCATTCTGGTAGGCATGTAATATTATCTTGTTGTAATTTTACTTTGCATATCCATTATAGTAAAGATTTTGGAACACTTCTAATTGCGCTTCATTACACCCGCCTCTGTGACTACCAAAATCCCCACTGGTTTCTCCTCCTCCCAGTAAGCCAAGTCTAATCCTTAAACCCAACCCCAAATCAACAAATGCCCCCAAAGCTTACCTAGACAGGAATCTTTTCCTCTCTGGAATTTTAGTTCATCCTGTCCTTGTCATCTGGTCTATTGATGACTTTGTGATTACTTAAAAATATGAATTTTGCAGTTTTTCGGATTTTGTTCTCATTGTTGCAGTGGGTGAGTAGGTGGCCTTTTGTGATCTCCTACATCCTGAAACTGAGACTCCTTTGGTTTCTTCTAGAGTCAGTTTGGTAAGCTATATTTTTTAAGAATTTGCTAATTAATCTCAGTTTTCAATTTATTCAGTTAAAGTTGGTTGGAATAACATCCAAACCCTTTCATTTTTAAAGTATCTAATATTGTTTACTTGTATCTAATATTGCTTATTTTATCAATTGAATAACTATTTGAATTATTAATTGAATTATTTAATGAATTAAATTAGCAATTTGAATTAGCAATTTAATTCATTAAATAATTCAATTAATAAATTAATTAATATTGCTTATTTTATTTTTTGGTTAATCATTCCATGGATGTGTCAATTTTATTACTTTTTATCTCTTGGACTTCATTGAGTCTCTCTTGTCATTTTGTTTTCCATTTTATAAATTTCTACTTTTATCTTTATTTTTTTCTTTCTTCTTATTTCAGGTTTATTCTGTTGTTCTTCTTTGAATTTATTAAATTGGCATTTAGTTCATACTTTTCAGTCATTCTTCCTTTTTTTAAATTATACTTTAAGTTCTAGGGTACATATGCACAACATGCATGTTTGTTACATATGTACACATGTGCCATGTTGGTGTGCTGCACCCATTAACTCATCATTTACGTTAGGTATATCTCCTAATGCTATCCCTCCCCCCTCCCCCCACCCCACAACAGGCCCCAGTGTGTGATGTTCACCACCCTGTGTCCTAGTATTCTCATTGTTCACTTCCCACCTGTGAGTGTGAACACGTGGTGTTTGGTTTTCTGTCTTTGCGATAGTTTGCTCAGAATGATAGTTTCCAGCTTCATCCATGTCCCTACAAAGGACATGAACACATCCTTTTGTATGGCTGCATAGTAGTCCATGGTGTATATGTGCCACATTTACTTAATCCAGTCTATCATTGATGGACATTTGGGTTGGTTCCAAGTCTTTGCTATTGTGAATAGTGCCACAATAAACATACGTGTGCATTTGTCTTTATAGCAACATGATTTATAATCCTTTGGATACATAACCAGTAAAGGGATGACTGAGACAAATGGTATTTTTAGGTCTAGATCTTTGAGGAATTGCCACACTGTCTTCCACAATGGTTGAACTAGTTTACAGTCCCACCAACAGTGTAAAAGTGTTCCTATTTCTCCACATCCTCTCCAGCATCTGTTGTTTCCTGACTTTTTAATGATCGCCATTCTAACTGGTGTGAGATGGTATCTCGTTGTGGTTTAGATTTGCATTTCTCTGATGGCCAGTGATGATGAGCATTTTTTCATGTGTCTGTTGGCTGCATAAACGTCCTCTTTTGAAAAGTCTGTTCTTGTCCTTTGCCCACTTTTTGATGGGGTTGTTTGATATTTTCTTGTAAATTTGCTTAAGTTCTTTGTAGATTCCAGATATTAGCCCTTTGTGAGATTGGTAGATTGTAAAAATTTTCTCCCATTCTGTAAGTTGCCTGTTCACTCTGATGGTAGTTTCTTTTGCTGTGCAGAAGCTCTTTAGTTTGTCAGTTTTGGCTTTTGTTGACATTGCTTTTTGTGTTTTAGTTATGAAGTCCTTACCTATGTCTATGTCCTGAATGGTATTGCCTAGGTTTTCTTCTAGGTTTTTTATGGTTTTAGGCCTAACATTTAAGTCTTTAATCCATCTTGACTTAATTTTTGTATAAGGTGTAAGGAAAGGATCCAGTTTTAGCTTTCTACATATGGCTAGCCAGTTTTCCCAGAACCATTTATTAAATAGGGAATCCTTTCCCCATTTATTGTTTTTGTCAGGTTTGTCAAAGATCAGATGGTTGTAGATATGTGGTATTATTTCTGAGGGCTCTGTTCTGTTCCATTGGTGTATATCTCTGTTTTGGTACCAGTACCATGCTGTTTTGGTTACTGTAGCCTTATAGTATAGTTTGAAGTCAGGTAGTGTGATGCCTCCAGGTTTGTTCTTTTGGCTTAGGATTGTCTTGGCATTGTGGGCTCTTATTTTTGGTTCCATATGAACTTTAAAGTAGTTTTTTCCAATTCTGTGAAGAAAGTCATTGGTAGCTTAATGGGGATGGCATTGAATCTATAAATTACCTTGGGCTGTATGGCCATTTTCACGACATTGATTCTTCCTATCCATGAGCATGGAATGTTCTTTTGTTTGTTTGTGTCCTCTTTTATTTCATTTATTTTATTTTATTTTTTCTTACATTTTATTTTATTTTATTCTTTTTTTAATTCTTATTTTATTTTATTCTTTTATTTTATTTTTATTTCATTGAGCAGTGGTTTGTAGTTCTCCTTGAAGAGGTCTTTCACATCCCTTTTAAGTTGGATTCTAGGTATTTTATTCTCTTTAAAGCAATTGTGAATGGGAGTTCACTCATGATTTGGCTCTCTGTCTGTTTTTGGTGTATAGGAATGCTTTTGATTTTTGCACATTGATTTTGTATCCTGAGACTTGACTGAAGATGCTTATCAGTTTAAGGAGATTTTGGTCTGAGATGATGGGGTTTTCTAAACATACAATCATGTCATCTGCAAACAGGGACAATTTGACTTCCTTCTTTCCTAACTGAATACCCTTTATTTCTTTCTCCTGCCTGATTGCCCTAGCCAGGACTTCCAACACTATGTTGAATAGGAGTGGTGAGAGAGGACATCCCTGTCTTGTGCCAGTTTTCAAAGGGAATGCTTCCAGTTTTTGCCATTATGATATTGGCTGTGGGTTTGTCATAAATAGCTCTTATTATTTTGAGATATGTCCCATCAATACCTAGTTTATTGAGAGTTTTTAGCATGAAGTGCTGTTGAATATTGTCAAAGGCATTTTCTGCATCTATTGAGAGAATCATGTGGTTTTTATCTTTGGTTCTGTTTATATGATGTATTACATTTATTGATTTGCATATGTTGAACCAGCCTTGCATCCCAGGGATGAAGCCAACTTGATCTTGGTGGATAAGCTTTTTGATGTGCTGCTGGATTCGGTTTGCCAGTATTTTATTGAGGATTTTTGCATCGATGTTCATCAGGGATATTAGTCTAAAATTCTTTTTTGTTGTTGTTGTATCTCTGCAAGGCTTTGGTATCAGGATGATGCTGATAAAATGCATTAGGGAGGACTCCCTCTTTTTCTATTGATTGGAATAGTTTCAGAAGGAATGGTACCAGCTCCTCTTTGTGCCTCTGGTAGAATTTGACTGTGAATCTGTCTGGTCCTAGACTTTTTTTCTTTGGTAGGCTATTAATTGTTGCTTCAATTTCAGAACCTGTTATTGGTCTATTCAGTGATTCAACTTCTTCCTGGCTTAGTCTTGGGAGGGTATATATGTTCGGGAATTTATCCATTTCTTCTAGATTTTCTAGTTTATTTGCATAGAGGTGTTTATAGTATTCTCTGATGGTAGTTTGAATTTCTGTGGGATCGGTGGTAATATCTCCTTTATCATTTGTTATTGCGTCTATTTGATTCTTCTCTCTTTTCTTCTTTATTAATCTTGCTAGCAGTCTATCAATTTTGTTGATCTTTTCAAAAAACCAACTCCTGGATTCATTGATTTTTTGGAGGGTTTTTTTGTGTCTCTATCTCCTTCAGTTCTGCTCTGATCTTAGTTATTTCTTGCCTTCTGCTAGATTTTGAATGTGTTTGCTCTTGCTTCTGTAGTTGTTTTAATTGTGATGTTAGGGTGTCAATTTTAGATCTTCCCTGCTTTCTCTTGTGGGCATTTGGTGCTATAAATTTCCCTCTACACACTGCTTTAAATGTGTCCCAGAGATTCTGGTATGTTGTGTCTTTGTTCTCACTGGTTTCAAAGAACATCTTTATTTCTGCTTTCATTTCGTTAGGTACACAGTAGTCGTTCAGGAGCAGGTTGTTCAGTTTCCATGAAGTTGAGCGGTTTTGAGTGAGTTTCTTAATCCTGAGTTCTAATTTGATTGCACTGTGGTATGAGAGACAGTTTGTTATAATTTCTACTCTTTTACATTTGTTGAGGTGTACTTTACTTCCAACTATGTGGTCAATTTTGGAATAAGTGTGATGTGGTGCTGAGAAGAATATATATTCTGTTGATTTGGGGTGGAGAGTTCTGTAGATGTCTATTAGGTCCACTTGGTGCAGAGCTGAGTTCAAGTCCTGGATATCCTTGTTAACTTTCTGTCTCATTGATCTGTCTAATGTTGACAGTGGGGTGTTAAAGTCTCCCATTATTATTGTACGGGAGTCTAAGTCTCTTTGTAGGTCTCTAAGGACTTGCTTTATGAATCTGAGTGCTCCTGTATTGTGTGCATATATATTGAGGATAGTTAGCTCTTCTTCTTGAATTGATCCCTTTACAGTTATGTAATGGCCTTGTCTCTTTTGATCTTTGTTGGTTTAAAGTCTGTTTTATCAGAGACTAGGATTGCAACCCCTGCTTTTTGTCTTGTTTTGTTTTGTTTTCCATTTGCTTGGTAGATCTTCCTCCATCCCTTTATTTTGAGCCTATGTGTATCTCTATGCATGAGATGGGTCTCCTGAATACAGCACACTGATGAGTCTTGACTCTATCCAATTTGCCAGTCTGTGTCTTTTAACCGGACGTTTTAGCCCATTTACACTTTAGGTTAATATTGTTATGTGTGAATTTCATCCTGTCATTATGAGGTTAGCTGGTTATTTTGCTCATTAGTTGATGCAGTTTCTTCCTAGCATCGATGGTCTTTACAATTTGACATGTTTTTGCAGTGGCTGGTACAAGTTGTTCCTTTCCATGTTTACTGCTTCCTTCAGGAGCTCTTGTATAGCAGGCCTGGTGGTGACAAAATCTCTCAGCATTTGCTTGTCTGTAAAGGATTTTATTTCTCCTTCACTTATGAAACTTAGTTTGGCTGGATATGAAATTCTGGGTTGAAAATTCTTTTCTTTAAGAATGTTGAATATTGGCCCCCACTCTCTTCTGGCGTGTAGATTTTCTGCCAAGAGATCCACTGTTAATCTGATGGGCTTCCCTTTGTGGGTAACCCAATCTTTCTCTCTGGCTGCCCTTAAGATTTTTTCCTTCATTTCAACTTTGGTGAATCTGACAATTATGTGTCTTGAGGTTGCTCTTCTCAAGGAGTATCTTTGTGGCATTCTCTGTATTTCCTGAATTTTAATGTCTGCCTGCCTTGCTAGGCTGGGGAAGTTCTACTGGATAATATCCTGAAGAGTGTTTTCCAACTTGGTTCTATTCTCCCCGTCATGTTCAGGTACACCAATCAGATGTAGATTTGGTCTTTTCACGTAATCCCATATTTCTTGGAGGCTTTGTTTGTTTCTTTTTACTGTTTTTTCTCTAAACTTCTCTTCTCGTTTAATTTCATTCATTTGATCTTGAATCACTGATACCCTTTCTTCCACTTGATCGAATTGGCTACTGAAGCTTGTGTATGCAACATGTAGTTCTTGTGCCATGGTTTTCAGCTCCATCAGGTCATTTAAGGTCTTCTCTACGCTGTTTATTCTAGTTAGCCATCCGTCTAATCTTTCTTCAATGTTTTTAACTTCTTTGCGATGGATTTGAATATCCTCCTGTAGCTCAGAGAAGTTTGTTATTACCGATCACCTGAAGCCTGCTTCTCTCAATTCGTCAAAGTCATTCTCTGTCCAGCTTTGCTCCATTGCTGGTGAGGAGCTGCATTCCTTTGGAGGAGAAGAGGCGCTCTGATTTTTAGAATTTTCAGCTTTTCTGCTCTGGTTTCTCCCCATCTTTGTGGTTTTATCTACCTTTGGTCTTTGATGATGGTGACATACATATGGGGTTTTGGTGTGGATGTCCTTTCTGTTTGTTAGTTTTCCTTCTAACAGTCAGGACCCTCAGCTGCAGGTCTGTTGGAGTTTGCTGGAGGTTCACTCCAGACCCTGTTTGCCTGGGTATCACCAGCGGAGGCTGCAGAACAGCAAATATTGCAGAGCAGTAAATGTTGCTGCCTGATCCTTCCTCTGGAAGCTTCATCTCAGAGGGGCACCTGGCTGTATGAGGTGTCGGTAGGCCCCTAATGGGAGGTGTCTCCCAGTCTGCAGGAGTTTCTGCTGCCTTTTGTTCAGCTATGCCCTGCCCACAGAGGTGGAGTCTACAGAGGCAGGCAGGCCTCCTTGAGCTGCAGTGGGCTCCACCCAGTTCGAGGTTCCTGGCCACTTTGTTTACCTACTCAATCCTCAGCAATGGCAGACGCCCCTCCCCTAGCCTTGCTGCTGCCTTGCAGTTCGATCTGAGACTGCTGTGCTAGCAGTGAGTGAGGCTCCATGGGTGTGGGACCCTCTGAGCCAGGTGCGGGATATAATCATCTGGTGTGCCATTTGCTAAGACCATTGGAAAAGTGCAGTATTAGGGTGGGAGTGTCCAAATTTTCCAAGTACCGTCTGTCATGGCTTCCCTTGGCTAGGAAAGGGAATTTCCCAACCACTTGCACTTCCTGGGTGATGTGATGCCCTCCCCTGCTTCAGCTCACACTCCATGGACTACACCTACTGTCTGACAAGCCCCAGTGAGATGAACCTGGTACCTCAGTTGAAAATGCAGAAATCACCCATCTTCTTCATTGTTCACACTGGAAGCTACAGACTGGAGCTGTTCCTATTTGGCCATCTCGAAACCTGGCCCTGCGCTTTAGACTTGGCACCCTATGGCTTGACGAGGTGACACTGTGTCCATGTGCGTGTGAAGGGAGAATGGCTGAAGGTACTTGCGGTCCCCCAGACAAAATCCGTGGACGTGGGTCACACCCATGCACACATGCAGCAGGGGTCTTAGCCATACAGGTGCACGGCAGGGCACACCCATTCTTCCATTTTTATAAATACATACAAGGCTATACATATTTCTGCAAGTATTGTAGACATTGTTCCTTACAACTTTTTATATGCAGCATTTTTATTACCGCTCGGTTCTAAATATTTTTCTCTTTAATGGATACCATTGCAGTTTTTTATTTTTTGAGTAACATTTTATTTGAGATTATTGTAGATTCATATGTAGTTGCAAGAAATAATTTGATATTCTGTGTACTCTTTACCTAACTTCCCCAATTGTAAAATCTTATAAAATTATAGTACAAAATCGCAACCAAGATATTGCCTATCTTTGCCTATTTTGTATTGATATACCTGTAAGGTATGTTGCTTATTCACTTTCTGTGCATACCGCAGTTACATAATGAAAAAAATAATAGCTTAAACCTTGGACCATGGCTCTGGCATCTTCACGTCTTGAAAGGAACGTAAATCCTAATCCTGAGTTTGTCTCTGCCACTAGAAAGCAATATTTCTGTGTGTTATTTCATGAACATGGTCCTATATAATAATTTATCTGCCATCATTCCCCAGGCTGCCTCCATTATTTAATTTGATGCCTCCCATGACAAATGAAAGTTTAGTTCATTAAAATGACTCACAGTTTTGGATTATACTTAAAACTGACTATTATTATTTTCATTTCATTTTTTCTAACCATTGCTATATTTGTGTAGCCTAGATTGACATTAATTTTTCGGATAGTAGTCTGCAAATTTTCAAACTAAATAATTATGCCATGAGTTATTGCTCAGGAATCAGCTCTTATCAATTATCATGTGAAAAATTACTTTAATACAACAGTAGCCAACAAGTTCACTACTCAGCAAGCTATTCCAGATGACACAGAGCAGAACAGCTCACAGACAAAATTAAGATGCTTGAAGGACATATTTTTTAAAATCAGTTAAAATACACAACAAGGCCAGGCGCAGTGGCTCACACCTGTAATCCCAGCACTTTGGGAGGTGGAGGCAGGAGGATCACTTGAACCCAGGAGGCAGAGGTTGCAATAAGCCAAGATGGCACCATTGCACTCCACCTGGGCAACAAGAGCAAAACTTCATCTTAAAAAAAAAAAAAAATTAAAATACCCAACAACAACAACAAAGAGGTGGGCAACACATCTTGGATAAAGAACAAGAAGAGTAGAAGGATCTCATTATCTCAGTTGTGCTAGTTAATATATCTTCTCTCTTCCTCTCTGATGTTTCAGCATTCTCCACTGACTGTTCAATTTTGAGAACCAGAGTTGAGGTCTGTTTAAAGAGGCTCGGCAGATGGAAGAAGTCATGGGTCAATGACATACACTTGCTCTAATCAGAGAAATGCAGAGGGATTAGTATGCCTGGCCACAGATAAAGGTCATTAGCCTGGTAAGCTACTATGGATTTTACTGATATTTCTTCAATGGAGAACACAAATTATTAGAATGGGTGTCACCAAATAAGTAACCCAATTAAGACCTCAAAAACAGCAAGTGCTTCACGTGTGTCTCTTGAATATTTACTATTTGCTTCTTACATCCCTTTCTAACTATGTTTAATACTCATGTGCTCTGTTTACCTTATCTATGTCTATCATGATGTATCTGACAAACTTGATTCTAATTCAGTTTCAAATATCCTTCTTTTTCCTCTTATTTTCTATATCAGAATTGAATGTTCTTAAATAATACAGCAAACACACATTATAGCAAACAATCATTAATAAGGATAAACTGTCTCTATATATACTGACTGGAAGCATTCCCAAAATTTACTGAGTGAATGAAGCCAGAGAATTATGTATAGTATGCCACAATTTATGTGGGAAAAGGGTGATCGTGTGGTTGTATTTGGTATTCTTTCTCTGGAGGGATGCAGAGGAAACTGGTAACAGTCATGTTCTCTCAAGAGATAATTCATTGGCATATCCTATTTAACTTTCTAAATTTTGAAAATTATGTATATATTATCTACTAAAATTGATTGTGTCAAAATTTTACTTTTAATAATACTAAATAATTTTTCTTTTTCTACATGTAGGTATCAGAATGGCAAAGCAACTGAACCTTCCACAAAATACAGATGATTGGACCAAAGAGGATGTAAATCGGTGGTTAGAAAGTCACAAGATTGACCAAAAACACAGGGAAATTTTGACTGGACAAGATGTGAATGGAGCAGTCTTGAAGTGGTTAAAAAAAGAACATCTTGTTGATATGGGCATCACACATGGACCAGCTATTCAAATAGAAGAACTATTCAAAGAATTGCAGAAAACAGCCATTGAAGATTCAATTCAGACATCTAAGATGAGAAAGCCCAGTAAAAATGCTCCTAAAGACCAAACCGTGTCTCAAAAGGAAAGTAGAGAAACTTCAAAGCAAAAACAAAAGGATAAAGAGAACCCAGATATGGCTAATCCATCTACAATGAGTACAATTGCTAAAGTTTCTGAGTCACTAAAAGTTGAGCTCATAGAAGATAAAATAGATTATACAAAGGAAAGGCAACCATCCATAGACCTGACATGTGTATCATACCCATTTGATGAATTCAGTAATCCATATCGTTACAAGTTGGATTTTATTCTACAGCCTGAAACAGGACCAGGCAATCTCATTGATCCAATACATGAATTCAAAGCCTTCACAAATACAGAAACAGCCACAGAAGAGGATGTTAAGATGAAATTTAGCAATGAGGTTTTCCGATTTGCTTCAGCTTGTATGAATTCACGTACCAATGGCACTATTCATTTTGGAGTCAAAGACAAACCCCATGGGAAAATTGTTGGCGTCAAAGTCACCAGTGATACCAAGGAAGCCCTCATTAACCATTTCAATCTGATGATAAACAAGTATTTTGAAGACCATCAGGTCCAACAAGCAAAGAAGTGCATTCGAGAGCCAAGATTTGTGGAAGTTTTACTGCCAAATAGTACTTTATCTGACAGATTTGTTATTGAAGTGGACATTATTCCACAGTTCTCTGAATGCCAGTATGATTATTTCCAGATTAAAATTCAAAATTACAACAACAAAACATGGGAACAAAGTAAAAAATTCTCAGTATTTGTGCGAGATGGGACCAGCTCTAAGGACATTATGAAAAATAAAGCTGATTTCAGAACATTTAAAGCAGATTTTAAAACACTGGCAGAGTCCAGAAAAGCAGCAGAAGAAAAATTCAGAGCAAAAACAAATAAAAAAGAAAGGGAGGGACCGAAGTTGGTTAAATTATTGACAGGAAATCAAGATTTGTTAGATAATTCATACTATGAACAGTACATTCTTGTAACAAATAAATGTCACCCAGATCAAACAAAACACTTAGATTTCCTGAAGGAAATTAAATGGTTTGCTGTGTTGGAGTTCGATCCTGAGTCTAACATCAATGGAGTGGTCCAAGATTACAAAGCAAGCCGAGTAGCAAACCTTCACTTTCCAAGTATATATGTAGAAGGGAAAACCACACCAAATGAGAAGATTTCTACTCTGAATCTTTACCATCAACCAAGCTGGATTTTCTGCAATGGCAGGTCAGACCTTGACAGTGAAAAATATAAACCCTTTGATCCAAGTTCCTGGCAAAGAGAAAGAGCTTCTGATGTCAGGAAACTGATTTCATTTCTTACACATGAAGACATAATGCCAAGAGGGAAGTTTTTGGTGGTATTTCTATTACTATCCTCTGTAGATGACCCAAGAGATCCCCTCATTGAGACTTTCTGTGCTTTCTACCAGGATCTCAAAGGAATAGAAAATATACTGTGTATTTGTGTACAACCACACATATTTCAGGGATGGAAAGATCTACTTGAAGCAAGATTAATAAAACACCAAGATGAAATTTCAAGCCAATGTATTTCTGCTTTAAGCCTTGAAGAGATCAATGGCACTATTCTTAAACTAAAATCTGTGACTCAATCTTCAAAAAGACTTTTACCATCTATTGGTTTATCGACTGTCCTTCTGAAAAAAGAAGAAGATATCATGACTTCTCTGGAAATTATCTGTGAAAATGAATGTGAGGGTACACTGTTAGAGAAGGACAAAAATAAATTCCTTGAATTCAAGGCATCAAAAGAGGAAGACTTCTATCGAGGTGGCAAAGTGTCATGGTGGAACTTCTACTTCTCTTCTGAAAGTTATTCTTCACCTTTTGTCAAAAGGGATAAATATGAAAGACTTGAAGCAATGATTCAAAACTGCGCAGATTCTTCTAAACCAACATGTACCAAAATTATTCACCTGTATCATCATCCAGGCTGTGGGGGAACTACCTTGGCTATGCACATTCTCTGGGACCTAAGGAAAAAATTCAGATGTGCTGTGCTAAAAAACAAGACAGTGGATTTTTCTGAAATTGGAGAACAGGTAACCAATTTAATCACCTATGGGGCAATGAACCGACAGGACTATGTACCTGTACTGCTCCTTGTTGATGATTTTGAAGAACAAGATAATGTCTATCTTCTGCAGTACTCTATTCAAACAGCTATAGCTAAAAAGTACATTCGATATGAAAAACCTCTGGTGATTATCCTAAATTGTATGAGATCACAAAATCCTGAAAAAAGCGCAAGGATCCCAGACAGCATTGCCGTAATACAGCAACTCTCTCCCAAAGAACAGAGAGCTTTCGAGCTTAAATTGAAAGAAATCAAAGAACAGCATAAAAATTTTGAGGATTTTTATTCCTTTATGATCATGAAAACCAATTTTAATAAAGAATACATAGAAAATGTGGTCCGGAATATCCTGAAAGGGCAGAATATTTTTACCAAGGAAGCAAAGCTCTTTTCTTTTCTGGCTCTTCTTAATTCATATGTGCCTGATACCACCATTTCACTATCACAGTGTGAAAGATTCTTAGGAATTGGAAACAAGAAGGCTTTCTGGGGCACAGAAAAATTTGAAGACAAGATGGGCACCTACTCTACAATTTTGATAAAAACAGAGGTCATCGAATGTGGGAACTACTGTGGAGTACGCATCATTCACTCTTTGATTGCAAAGTTCTCACTGGAAGAATTGAAGAAAAGCTATCACCTGAATAAAAGTCAAATTATGTTGGATATGCTAACTGAGAATTTGTTCTTCGATACCGGTATGGGAAAAAGCAAATTTTTGCAAGATATGCACACACTCCTACTCACAAGACACCGCAATGAACATGAAGGTGAAACAGGAAATTGGTTTTCCCCATTTATTGAAGCATTACATAAAGATGAAGGAAATGAAGCAGTTGAAGCTGTATTGCTTGAAGGTATCCATCGATTCAACCCAAATGCATTCATTTGCCAAGCGTTGGCAAGACATTTCTACATTAAAAAGAAGGACTTTGGCAATGCTCTAAACTGGGCAAAACAAGCAAAAATCATAGAACCTGACAATTCTTATATCTCAGATACACTGGGTCAAGTCTACAAAAGTAAAATAAGATGGTGGATAGAGGAAAACGGAAGAAATAGGAACATTTCAGTTGATGATCTAATTGCTCTTTTGAATTTAGCAGAACAGGCCTCAAGTGCATTCAAAGAATCTCAACAGCAAAGTGAATATAGAGAGTATGAAGTGAAGGAAAGGTTGTATCAGAAGTCAAAAAGGAGGTATGATACTTACAATACCGCTGGTTATCAAGGAGAGATAGAAGTTGGGCTTTACACAATCCAAATTCTCCAGCTCATTCCTTTTTTTGATAATAAAAATGAGCTATCTAGAAGAGATATGGTCAATTTTGTATCAGGAAGTGGTGATATTCCAGGGGATCAAAATGATGAATATAAATTAGCCCTCAAAAACTATATTCCTTATTTAACTAAATTGGAATTTTCTTTGAAAAAGTCCTTTGATTTTTTTGATGAATACTTTGTACTGCTAAAACCCAGGAACAACATTAAGCAAAATGAAGAGGCCAAAACTCGGAGAAAGGTGGCCGTAAATTTTAAGAAATATACAGATATATTTTGTCTCTTAGAAGAATCACAAGACATAGGTCTTGGATCAAAGTTCAGTGAGCCACTTCAAATAGAGAGATGCCGGAAAAGCCTAGTAGCTTTAAAAGCAGACAAGTTTTCTGGGCTCTTGGAATATCTTATCAAAAGTCAAGAGGATGCTATGAGCACTATGGAAGATATAGTGAACAAATATGCTTTTCTCTTAGAACAATGCACTGTCAAAATCCAGTCAAAAGAAAAGTTAAATTTCATCTTGGCCAACATTATTCTCTCCTGTATCAAACCTACCTCGACATTAGTAAAGCCAGTTGAAAAACTAAAAGATCAGCTTCGAGAAGTCTTGCAACCAATAGGACTGACTTACCGGTTTTCAGAACCTTATTTTCTAGCTTCCCTCTTATTCTGGCCAGAAAATCAACAACTAGATCAACATTCTCAACAAATGAAGGAGTATGCTCAAGCACTGGAAAATTCTTTCAAGGGGCAATATAAACATATGCATCGTACAAAGCAACCAATTGCGTATTTCTTTCTTGGAAAAGGTAAAAGACTGAAAAGACTTGTTCACAAAGGAAAAATTGATCAGTGCTTTGAAAAGACACCAGATATTAATTCCTTGTGGCAGAGTGGAGATGTGTGGAAGGAGGAAAAAGTCCAAGAACTTTTGCTTCGTTTACAAGGTCGAGCTGAAAATAATTGTTTATACATAGAGTATGGAATCAATGAAAAAATCACAATACCCATTACTCCCACTTTTTTAGGTCAACTTAGAAGCGGCAGAAGCATAGAAAAGGTGTCTTTTTACCTGGGATTTTCCATTGGAGGCCCACTTGCTTATGACATTGAAATTGTTTAAGGGTCTGATATTGTTCCTCCAAGAATTTGGTCTCAGTACCACCTAATTTTTTTAGACTCAAGATCGATGCTTTAAACTAGCCCCTATGTTATAGATACAGCCCCTAGCTCTTCAGACCTGTACATGCAGTATTTAACTTCCTCTTAAACATGTTATGAGTCCTACAAAGACAATAGTGAAAATGGAAGGAGTGAAATATATGAAAAGCAGCAAATATGTTCCTTGGTTTGGTTAACACCATTGATGACAAAATAATAAGGAGCTATGACTGGAGTCAGAAGAGGGTTAGTGTAATAAGCTGGCTACACAGAACCCCACTACTTACCAGGCATGGATTGAAGAAGATTGTCTACTCAAATGGCATTTAGACATTAGAATGTCTGGGAAAATATTTCTCAAAGAGAGCAAAAACCTCTCAAACTGAGTAGCAACATTTATTCTTACTAAGCAGATCATCAATGTTTCATGTACTTGGCACTCAAGGATCTTCCAAAACAGAGGACCAGCCAGTCTTCTGAAGGTCATGCTCATAGAAGTCATCAGACCTTGCCAAAGTAGGCTGGAGAATTAGATTGCCTTTTCATGCAGTGAGAGTCAGTTAAGCAAAAATAAAATTTGTCTCTATAGCTAATTAGCTTATCAACTCCTCTCCAAACAAACAATTTAAAAAAAAACCTCACACTCAAATTCCACAAGATAATGAACAAAAGGGACTCTTGTGAGAAGACTAATGAGTCTCTCATCCAGAAGATGCCAATGTACTGGCAGATTAACATATAACCTATGTTTTGAACAAAAACAACCAGAGATATGTAATCAAAATGTAATTTTCCCCTAATAAAATTATGGGTATGGGCAGTAATCAACGGCTGCCAAAACCATTAAGTAGAAAGCTGATTAAAAAAAAAAAAAAACTTTCTAACGGATTTCTCAAACTGTCCCAAATCCTGATAAATATTAACATCACAGAGGAAGGCCACACATTATGGGTCTGGAAGTACTATAGGAGTGCACATATCACCCATGAGATGGTCTTGCCAAGTAGTTAAAGCTGAATTTGATCAGGTCTCTGGATCTTATTTTCAATTCAAAAGAAATTAAAAAAAAAAAATCCTACTAACACCACAACAAATATGCAACCAGCAATATCCAGAAAGTAGAAATTCACAGGACAAAAACCTGGTTTATTCAATCAAAAAAGAAAGAAAGAAATTGCAAAGGACCAAAAAAAGGTTAGGGAATCTATACATTATAAAGGACTTAACAACTAAAGTGCAACACATAGACTTTAGATCCTAATTTGAGCAAAATCTAAAATCAATTATTAGGCAATCAGAAAAATTTGAACACAGACTAGATATTTGAGAATATTAAGGTCCTCTATTATTGATTTGTTAGATGGTATAATGATTCTATGGTTATGTTTTTTAAAGAGTTCGTGCCTTTCAGAGATACATACTACAGTATTTGTAAATAAATAATATGATCTGGAATTAGTAATTTTGTGTTTGGGGTGTAGGGGTGTAGGGGTGGTGAAAGGGAAGTAAACCGAAACAAGATTGGTCCTGAGTTAACAATGGCTGCATGCTGGATACATGTATACTTTTCTCTCTCTTACTGATTGTGCTTTTGAAATTTTCTCTTGTAGAACATTTAGAAAACAAAAACAAAAAAAAATGTGATTTGTTTCTGTCTTCAAAATCTCATTAGAATTTTTTCACTGGAGGAAGTTTTTCCCTTTCTTCTGCATAAAATTTTAACTCCATAACTTATGAGCTCAATCTTTATTGTTACTTTTTAATTGACAAATAAAAATTGTATATATTTATGGTGTTCAGCCTGGGCGTTTTGTTTGGCGTATTTGTTGTGATATGGGCGTATACTGTGAAATGACTAAATGAAGGTAACTAATATCTCTATCACCTCTCAAGCCCACTTGTGTGTGTGATGAGAACATTTAAAATCAACTCTCTTAACAATTTTCAAGTACACATTTTTATTAACTATAATCATCATGTTGTACAATAGATTTCCAAAATGTATTCTTCCTAACTAAAACTTTGTACCCTTTGACCAATATCTCATTTCCCACTACCTCCCCCACTGCCCCTGCAACCCTGGAAACCACCATTCAACTTTCTGCTTCTATGAGTTTAGCTTTTTTAGATTCCACATCTAAGTGAAATCATGCAGTATTTGTCTTTCTGTGCCTGGCTCATTTCACTTCAGCTCAATTTTCAAAATATGAAAGAAATCCTCTGGTCAAACGGAGTTTCAATTAGAATGTCCAGTCACGTTTTTCTCTGAAGCCACTTCCCAGTCTGCCCCAGGTTTCAGTTCACTCTACACAGAATTGTCTCTTCTGGAGTCCTGCCTTCCCAGGTGATTCTTTTGAACTCAAATTAAGCCAGTTTAAGCAGATGTTCTGTCCCCCGTGATCTCCCTCGGGGGAACAGGAAACACTTATGGATGTTTGTTCTGCCATTGGTAGAGAGTGAAGGTGGTTTCCAGTTCGGGGAACAACATGTGTTGTACATTCAGAGGGACACAGGTAAAGCACTTCAAGTGAAACTTTTGAGGGCCCCCTATCTCAAGGCTTGAGAGAAGGTTCTCATAGGGGTATGAGAGAAGGTTCTCATAGGGGTATGAGAGAACTTTCTCCAAAAGAACCTCTTGATAAGCCCTCATTTCCTCAGTGCCAGCAGTGGGCAACCTACGGCCTGTGGGACAAATCAAGCCTACTGCTTGTCTTTGTAAATAAAGTTTTATTGAAACATAGCTCTGCTCATTTGTTGAAGTATCGTCTGTGGCTACTTTTAGACTACAACAACAGAGCTGTGTAGCTGCCACAGAAACCCTATGGGCCACAAAGTCTAAAACATTTACTATCTGGCTCTTTACAGGAAGTTTGTTGACCCCTGCTCTAGGCGGTTAACTCTTCTATTATGTCTTTATTATAGGTCAATCGTCAAATTGGTTCTTAAACACCCTACTTTGAAAATATGCATTTTGGTTCATCACTTCTTTTGGTATCTAATTTTTATCGTTTTAGAGCCAAAGTTAAATTTTAACATTTTTTTAACAGAAAACAAATCAATTTTAATATTGTAATAATTCAGACCCACTTTTCCAAAGAACACCAGTGTAATAAATGTGTGTGAGTTTTCGTTTGGAAAATTTAAAAATTCCTAAATTGTGCGGAATCAATTTAACAGGCACCTTGATCTATCATAATTCTCTTTACCTATTAGTTTTATATTTCCTTAGAACTATGAATTTGAGGGAGACACATTTTGTCTCCCTAAATTTATATTCTTCTCATATGCAAAATACATTCATTCCATCCCAGTAGCCCCAAAAGTCTCACTTGTTCCAGCACCAACTCCAATGTCTAAAGTCCAGAGTTCCATCTATATCAGTTATGGGTGAGACTTAAGGTACAACTCTTCATAAGGCAAATTCCTTTCCAAATGTGAGCCTGTAAAATCAAACAAGTTGTGTTTCCAACTACAATGGTGGGACAAGCATAGGATAAACATTCCTGTTCCAAAAGGGAGAAACAGGAAAGAAGATCCCAGGTCCCAAGTAAGTCCAAAACACAAAGCAAACAATATTAAATTTTGAGGTTTGCAAATAATTTTTGACTCCATGCCATGCCTCATGCACTCACTGGAGTGGAGGTTGGGCCCCCAATCCCTCAGACAGCACTGCCTTCATGGTTTTGCTGGGTGCAGCCCATGCAGCAGCTCTTAGGGGTTGAAGTGAAGCCTGAAGCTCTCTCAGGCTGGCACTGCACATTGCACACTGGTGGCTTTACAAGTCTGGGATCTCAGAGATCGTCCTGCCTCCACAATTCCACTAAACATTGCCACAGTGGGGGCTTTCTGCGGTGACCCCAACCCCATAACTCTGTTGGGCATTGCCCTAGTGGGGCCTTTCTGCAGTGGCCCCACTCCTACTGCTCCAATAGAAATTGCCCTAGTAGGGGCTCTCTGTGTAGCCCCATCCCTGTGGCAGCTCCCTGAACTTTTTATGACTTAATCCCTTCCTGAAGGCTCCACCTCTTAATACTGTCACAAGCGTGATTACATTCCAACATATAAATTTTGCGAAGACACATTCAGACCATAACAGAAGGTGAAATTAAAATATTAATGATTTTCTCTTTCACAGGCCAGCAGTTCTCAATTGAACAGAACTCCTGAAGGTCTTTTCAAGCTGCACATTCTATTTCCCAGTTCAAATACAACCTAGGGTAGAAAGACATCAGAATTTTTTTTTTTAACTGTCCCTTTGGAAACCACTAATTAGGTCATTGTAGTACACAATAATTTCCAAACTCAGCATTCAAAAAGAAATGTTTATCAACAGTCCTAAAACAAATGGTAGCCTCAATAAAAGAAGTTTAGAAACTATAGCATGCCAAATTTTGCTTTTGGCTATTTAGGATGTTAAAAAAAAAAAAAAAAGAAAAAGAAAAAAGAAAGAAAGAAAGAAAGAAGCTCTCAGAAAGTAATACCAAAGGGAAGATTATTTAACTTATTTCTCTAAGAACAATAAAATTATTTTAATTTCTCATTATTTTTATATCCCTTGCTCCTCCAAAGGTCTCCCTGTTGCACAACAGAAGTGGTTAAATTTCTAGACACATAAAACCTACCAAGATTGAACCATGAAGAAATACAAAACCTGAATAGACTAAAAACAAGTAATGAGATAGAAGCTATGATAATTGAAAAAAAAAAAGTCTCTCATCAAAGAAGAGCCCAGAAACTGATGATTTCACTGCTGAATTCTACCAAATATTTAAAGAAGAACTAATATGAATACTCCATAAACTATTCAAAGACACAGGTAAAGGGAATACATCTGACCTCATTCTATGAGTCCAGTATTACCCGATACCAAAACTAACAAAGACACACACACCGAGAAAGAAAACTACGGGTCAATATATCTGATGAACATAGATGCAAAAATTCTGAAAAAAAATAGTACCAAACCAAATTCAATGACACTTTAAAAAGGTCATTCACCATGATCAAGTGGGATTTATCCCAGGGATGCAAGGATGCTTTGACATGAAAATCAATAAACATAATATACAACATCAACAGAATGAAGGACAAAAACCATATTGTCATTTCAATAGATGCTATAAAAAGCATTCAATAAAATTCAACATATTTTCATTATAAAAACTCTCAACAAACTGGTTATAGAAAGAACATACTTCAACATGATTAAGGCCATATAGGACAAACCCACAGCTATTATACTGAATGTGGAAAAACTGAAAGCCTTTTCTCTGAAATTTGTAACAAGACAAGGATGCCCACTTTCACCACTTTTATTCAGTATAGTACTGGAAGTCATAGAGCAATAAGACAAGAGAAAGAAAGAAATGACATCCAAATTGGAAAGGAAGAAGTTAAATTATCCTTGTTTTCAGATGATATAATATATATAATATATTATTATTATTATTATTATTGTTATTATTATTATTATTATTAGAGATGGAGCCTTACTCTGTCGTCCAGGCTGGAGTGCAGTGGCGCCATCTCGGCTCACTGCAAGCTCCACCTCCTGGGTTTACGCCGTTCTCCTGCCTCAGCCTCCAGAGTAGCTGGGACTACAGGTGCCCGCCACCACACCCGGTTAATTTTTTTGTATTTTTAGTAGAGACGGGGTTTCACCATGTTAGCCAGGATGGTCTCGATCTCCTGACCTCGTGATCCACCCACCTTGACCTCCCAAAGTGCTGGGATTACAGGCATGAGCCACCGCGCCTGGCCCTGATATACTCTTTTATTTGGAAAAACCTAAAGACTCCACCAAAAAAAAGCTATTAAAGCTGATAAACAAATTTAGTAAACTTGCAGAATATGAAATCAACATGCAAAAATCAGTAGCATTTCTATATGCCAAAAGCAAACAATCTGAAAAAGAATCTAAGAAAGCAACCCTATTTATAACAGCTACAAATAAAATACAATAACTAGGAATGAATTTAACCAAAAAAGCCAAAGATCTATACAACATTGATAAAAGAAATCAAGAGGACAGGAAGGAAAAATAATCCAGGAAATGAAAAAAGGAAAGATATTCTGTTTATAAATTGGAACAATTAATACTGTTAAAACGTCCATGCTATACAAAGGTATCCACAGATTTAGTGCAATCCCTATCAAAATACCAATGACATTCTTCACAGAAATAGAAAAAAATCTATCCCAAAACTTATGTGGAACCACAAAAGACAGAATAGCCAAAGCAATCCTGAGCAAAAAGAGAAATGCTGGAGGCATCACATTACCTGTCTTAAAATACTACAAAGCTGTATTAACAAAACAGCATGGTACTGGCATAAAAACAGACACATATACCACAGTGGACAGAATAGAGAATCCAAAAATTAATCCATACATTTGCAATTGACTCATTTTTTTAAAAGACACCAAGCACGTACATTGGGGAAACGACAGTCTCTCCAATAAATGGTGCTGGAAACATTGGATATCCATATGCAGAAGAATGAAACTCTATCTCTATTTCTCACTATATACAAAAATCAAATCAAAAGGGAATAAAGACTTAAATGTCAGACTTGAAACTATGAAATCATTGCAAGAAAACATCGAGGGGATGCTCCAGAACATTGATCTGAGCAGAAATTTCTCAAGTAAGACCTCAAAAGAACAGGCAACCAAAGCAAAATGGACAAATTGGATCACATTAAGCTAAAAAGCTTCATGCAGCAAGGAAATAATCAACAGGGTAAGAAACAACCTACAGAATGGGAAAAAGTGTTTGCAAACTA